CATATTTATAATAGCAAGTACCCTGCCTGGTACTCCATATATAATAATAGCAAGCAGTCAAGAGCTCTGGGGATATGGGGGCACTAGGGAAGACCCACTGCCTTTTAGCTCTTCAGATTTTTACTTTCAGTGATAGTTATATTTTGGAGGGTATTGCTTACAAGATAAAATTTGCATTTATTTGAGCAACTCACAAATGGGATTCACTGCAAAGCTATCATTAAAGGGAAATAATGCAGAAGAAGGAACAAAGGATGCGTTCTCAGCCAAGGCTGACATGTAGACACTTTTCAGAAATCCTTGATGCCATAGGAAGAATGCTGTTTTCTCACTCTACTGTGACCTCCCAAAATCCTGAAAACCAAGCAGTTAGGTACAGTGCTGTGACTGTTCAGCTGTATTTTTGTCTATTTGCAGTGTTTCTACCTTGCAAGCAGTGTAGTGATTTCTATGATCATTCCTGTCTGGAAGCAGTTTCCTCTGTCCCAGTTCAAAGCTGCAGAGCCCATTTTCTGTGAGTGACTTCCAAGGAGGAGGACTCTGGCATCAGATATTCCTGATGTGCTTTTTACTTGTGCAAGTGTTGCCACTTACAAGTGTAAGTGACTGGTAGGAGCTGAAGGAGTCACTTGAAGTTTGGCTCTATTACTCTTCCTCATCTTCTTTTAACTGTTCTGGTTTAGTGCTTTCTCCATTTGCATACGTCCATGAGAAATAAACCCATTAATTTATTCAGCCTTATAACCATGTTAGAGAAGCTCTAATAGGAGAGAGTGAGATGTTTTCTTCCCAGCACAGGCAGTGTGGTACTCATCCTGTTTCTTTCTTGCATTAACTCTGGGACCCAGGGCACTCTGCCACCCTGTCTGCAGTGCCTCATGCTGTGATGTGGCAGTGGTGGTGCTCCCTCCAGGTAATTTCTCTGCAGTATGCAGGGCCAATGCTGTTTTTGGTGCTGCTCCAGTCCCAGCTGAAGGGCTCAGGTGTACTCCTCATATGATCTTCATATAATGAGGCAGACTGCTTCCTATGAAGCTGTATAGGTGTGGGGGGAAGGAATATGCCTTGGGATTGCTAGGCCTTGACTGCCAAGTCAAAATTTACAGAAGTTACAGAATTTTAAGAGTTGGGAGGGGCCCACAAGGATCATTGAGTCCAACTCTTAAGTGAATGACCCACACAGGGATTAAACCCACAATCTAGGTATCATTAGCACTATACTCTAACCAGTTGAGCTAATCTCAGGGTCAAGTCCTTGTAGATTAGGATCAGGCTTTCTAGCAGAGAATTCTTCAGGTTTCACTTCCCTTGACGTAAGAATTGTCACTGTACAATGCACCAGTCTTGTTCTGATAGTTTAGTTGCAGCATGACACCCGACTAGGGAGTCATGGATAAAATCTAAGGAATTAGACTTGACCAAGCCCCCTCTGACTCTCCATGGGTATGCTTTGATGAGGTTAGCTTTATTCACACTTCTGGAAGCTTCTATTGACGTCCGTGAGGGCTTCATATTACTTAGTCCTTACCTTCAGAAGTCTGGGGCATTAGTGGACAAAACAAGGGTCTGCTCCAAGCTGTCAGATTTCTTTCTCTATTACCTCCCAGATGCCCCATTTAGTACTATCTGATGGTGAATAAAGCACTGAAACAGGCTGTCAAGAGAGGTGGTGGGTGCCCCATTCCTGGAAATATTCAAGGTCAGACTAGAAAGAGCTCTGAGCAAGCTGATCTGGTTGGAGAGAGAGGTCACTGCTCATTGCAGGAGGGTTGGAATAGATGACCTTTAAAGCTCCCTTCCAACTCAGACAATTCTATGATTCTGATTCTATGGTAGATACCATGGCGTCAAGATAAGTGAGAATGTGGAAGGAGAAAAAGATAGATAAGATGGGTGGGGCTGGAGACTTGAGGAGCTGAAAGTAGGCTGTAATATACAGGAGGGTGGGCAGACATTTTTCCTGAGTACATATCATGGAATCATGCATATAGGGATCTGCCTCTACTAGTCTTTCTTTGTTCAGGAATTCCACTGTTAGATTCCAGTGGTCCTAGCACTCAACCCAAACATTCCCATGAAAAAGAAACATGGGTCTTCCTGATGATGCTGCCAGTGCCCTGCGGCAGAAAATTGTGGAGAAGAGAAATTTTTATTTCTGGTTGCTGCTGTTCTCTATGTCCACGTACTGCTACAGTACCAAGCAAAGGTTTGTCTAGACCAGAGCTCGGGGCTACTTATTATCCTCATAACCCATTTCCTTTTGCCAACAGCATTGGCTTATGTGGCTAAGTCAGAAGGGAATGCTCCCATCACAGGCAGCCTCTTTTCTATGATCTTCATTAAGCTTTGGGCCATTAACTCAAGATGTGTGATTATTTTGTTTGTTCAAATAGCAAGACAAGCAGAGTCTCCTTTGAGTGTTTCAAGCAAACCAGCATGACTGAAAACTGGGAGCTTGCCAGAAAACATTACGTGAAATAGTAGTGGCAGGTTCATCTTAGTGTGGGCGGAGAGGGAGCGACGTACCCTCTCTTTTACTACTTCAAACATGCAGTGTCCATATGCCATAGTTGAGCTGGTTTATGGATGGAGAATGAAGGATACTACTCCATCTCCTTCATGCAAATACTGTGTGAGTGCTGTGGAATATAGAATCTTAGGGATATGAGTATCAGCTGTTGCTGCAGTCCAAACACACAGCACCAGCAAGCAGTATGTTATAGACAGTACCATTTTCCTGCTTTATATTTAGTGTTAGTACATAGAGCCAAATACTAAAAGGGGGGTGGGTGGGTCACATGATGAAATTAATACCATTAATTATTTAGAAACAATCAAAGGAAATACAAGACATCTGGCTTTAAGCCCAAACAACTCATGGAACTGCTGTTGCCTTGTAACCTCATCAGCTCTTAGTCCAGTCATCTCTCTTCTTTCATTATGAATACAGGAGATGCTTCCCCCCTACCCCCCCTTCCCCACCCCTCTTTCCTGCCTTATTTCTGGCAGCTTGGAACACAGATCACAAGACTGAACTATATAGTTTACTGATTTTGTGTGGATAAACGCTGATTAGTTCTGTGGTGAAAAGACATCCCCCCACATCCCCACGCTATACAATAGTGTGAGATGAGCAGTGTGTTACAGCCATAGGTCACATTTTTCTCCTCATCTTGATATTGGGGAGTAGCTGCTGTAGGAGGAAAAGGCACTGTTGCTACTGTAGTGCTAAAAGTCATCAAGCACACGTGTTGCAGTAGGCTGTGCACAACAGGCGGTGAGAGACGGTTCCTGCCCTGAAGAGAGGAGGGTCTCTACGTAGGCAGAAAACTGGAGCAGAACAAACATCACAGCAAATGGATTCTGCACTGGCGTTGGCATTCACCTTCCCCTAGCTAGGCTAGTGGTCTTATCTTTTGCAGCTGTGGCCAGACATTTTTCCATCAGACTGATCTTTCAGTGGAAAATCTTTTTCTTTAAATGAAAATTTTCTTGGGGAATAACTGTTTTACCCAAGAAAAGTCAAATAAATAATTGCCAACTGCTGGTTCTGAAAGACTCATTACTCTTTTTTTTCCCCCCTCCTTTTTCCAGGTAGTTGAAGAAAAAATTCTGTTTTAGTTATAAGAGAGGTGTATTTTTGTGGAAAGCCCTTCTCATTAGAAAAAAAATACCCACTTCACTGATTCTTCCAACTCAACTATAGAACATTTTGGGGTCCTTTTCCCTTAAGTGATTATATCATCATGATAAGAGTTCCATTTTCTCTTCAGCTCAGTCTTTCTTAGTATAGGTGATTTAATACAGTTTTATTATGAGAATCTCATCTTCCATAGGCAAATTAGTATATACAAGTTCCTAAAATAGTTTTATCAGGGCAAAGCAAAGAAGTTTTTGCTGGTGATTCTACTTTTCTGTACTTTGGCGAATGTGGGCCCATTTTGATGGCTCAAATGCTGATGTATTGAAGTCATTCTCATTACATCTTTGTCTGTGGAGAAGCACTTTCATTTTCTTTCTTTTCTTGCTTTAATCTGAAAAGCATAGATTCACTGACTGTTCTCTTAATGGTTGTTGAGAGTGGCTTTGAAGAATTCTTATTTTATGAAAAGGCACTGAGATTTCTGTCACAGTAAGCATCTTCTGACTGTCTTTACCTGCTCTTGACTACTATTTTGAAGATGCACATTCCCAATTATCTGTGAAAAAGTATTGAAATTTGCTTTCTTGGTTCTGGGAAGCTTGCTTTAGACTCCTGCTCTCTCTTATTTGTAGTATTCCATAGCCTACTCTTGTCCTCAGGAAACAATGGCATCAGTTGAACATATTAGGTGTGATTTTTTGAAATACACAGTTACCCGCATTTGGTTCCTTCTTCATTCAATGTGTGTTAACACTACCTTCAACAAAGGCAGAGTTAGGCCTATGCAGAAAGCTTTAAAAACTGAAAATGAAACCCACCTCTTGCATTCTGGGCTATTTGCAGGCAAGAACATATGTTATGAGTGCTTCTGCTGCTTTTCAGGGTGTTTGTTAAAGGTGCTTGGACTCTTCTCTGAGTAATGGAGTAGTTAATTTTAATGCTATGATAGATTTGTTTCTTTTATATTGTCTCTTTTAGTTTATCGCATAATGGCATTTTATTTCCTGGAACTAAATGTAAACAAAAATTCTAATAAACTGAAAAAACCCAAACAAACAAAGAAACAAAAACAAAAACAAAACAAAACAAAACAAAACAAAAAAACAACAACAAAACAACAACAACCAAAAAAAACCCCACAAAACCCCACAACGTCTTAGATTAAGCTGTTCCAAGGTTTTGTTTCTTTGTTTCCTTATACTAAAGCCGGTACTTTTTATTTTGTTTTTCTCAGATGTAATCATTAAGTACAGTCTCTTGTTTACATAAAACTTACAGTTTTATTTTTTCTTTTTTCTTCTCTCCCTTTTCTTTTCCCCTTCCTGACATCGGCATCGCATGTTGATGTCAAGAGCAGCAGTGGTTGGCAGTTTTCCTCAACTTTGCGAGAGAGAGGGAGATTGTGTTGGAATGAAACCTTGCTCTGCGTACAGCCTGCTTGAGATGCAGCATTGAAAGGTATAATCTCATTTTCTGTCTTGAAACCAGAGATGAAAACCACAAACAGGTAGAAATCTCGGTGCCAAACCACCTGTTGAGTTGTAGCCGAAAAGCCTTTGGCAATACTTTCCTCACTGTATCCAGTTGGAACAGTTACATGGCTGATTCCTACAGTATCTTTCTGTACCTGCGAGTTTGGTAAAGAGGCTAATTCATTGGAGAAGATTGGGATTGAAATTCAGTTAGAGTTAGCATGGCAAAGAATCTTCTGCTATTAGTCTTGCTTTTTGCCTGGAGTAGCATACATCGCTCATATAAGTCAGTTCAGCATTGAAAATACCAATCCTGAAGTCACACGCTGTGTATTAGAGAGAAAAATGAGATTTGTTGAAACAGCTTTGTGTGGAGTCCAGATCTGCAATAGCATGATATCCTAGAGGTCAGAATTGAGGTGACTGGATGAAACTGTGAAGACAAAAGTTGTGAAGTACCCTGCTGACAGCATCAGTACTTCATCTTTTGAGGGTATTACAATTCAGAAAATCACTTGAAATCACGTTAAAATGCTATCCTTGGACTGCTACACATATGCTCCCTGTGACATACGCCTTACAGAAACAGCCACTGTGTGTTAATATGGCATTACAATTTTGGACTCCACCCACAAAATTAATAACATTCTTCAAACAAGAGTGATGTAGGATGCTGACACATTTAAGCCCATATGTTCTTGGACTTGTGTCCTCCAGTGATGAGAGAACTAGAAATCCCAGAATTTTTCTTATTTCCTCTGAAGCCATGCGGGTAAACTAGTAGAATGTGAACACAGGCTAGCAGGGCTTGGACCATGAATAGCTGAACAGTCGAGCCACATTTTATACTTTTACATGCTCTTGTGTGTCCTATTCTGGTAGTGGTACTCGTTGACTTTCATGAGTTTGCACAACCATAATTTAGAACAGATTTGGGCCACGCTATTTATATTTGTGCAGATTGCCTCATGTTTGTGAAACAATTATTTCCTGTGGATCTGTAGCATTGTCCAGTGTTGCAAAATGCTTTCATATGTATATATGACTGGTTAAAACATGAAATGTGTTTTGAAGCAACATGACAAAGAGCAGTAAAATCTGCACAGTAACTGAGCTTTACTTGGCTGTCCATACAATGTCCAATTAATGCGGTTACTGTGCTCTGAAGTCTCTCCAAGGCTGAGTAAGACATGCTGTGGCCTTGTAAAAGATGCAGTGTTTCCCGAATTTTCTAAAGATTTCCATTACAGATGCTACAATGACATGAGGACAGTGTAATCTGTATCTTTAGTAGCAGTAACAATGCAGGGTGTGAAGTATATCCCCAAAATCTGAAGGTGTGAATTCTAACCCATCAGCGAGCTGTGTGAGAATTCTATAGAGTAAAACCTAATTCTGTGCCGAAGAGGAACACTGTGAACACCCAGCATAAAATAGAAGATGTTCTGTTCTCTACTGCACTGTCTTGAGCCAAACTTGGGATCTAAAAGCCAAGTGAGGTTCTTTCATCACCAGTCATAAAGATGCTGTAAGTCAGATTGTCCCCTCAGGCTATATTTTGACAATGTAGTAAATTGAGCTTTGGGAACTTTCTACCAGATCGAGAACTCTGTCACCTCAAAATGCAAAGCACGGATCCATTATAAATTCTCTGGTGCAGTTTTAAAAATATATTTTGATGTGTTGACTTCTACCAGCAAGCTCTGTGCCTTATCTGATACCTTTTGTTCCTTGCTGCTAGCGTTAACACAAATAAGGGCTGGCAGAAATGGCATCTCGTGCCCTCACATGATCCAGTCTGTACTGTGGAGTTCTACATTAGTGCAGTCTGTAAAAGTTTCAATGATTAAGAACCATCAAATCCGTTACTTCCCTGCATTTTGTTGTCTTTCTATTCTTCCCTTAGTCCTGGAAGGTGGCACGGGTATCAGGAAGTACAAAACTTGATTTATGTTATAAATGGAATCAGAAAATGTCTCAGTTTTTGTATATGTGTACCAACACTTCCAATCTGGTGAACTCTGTTGAGAAGAGTGAAAAAACCTAAGTGCTGTTTCTTGCACAAAATGAAGACAGGGCAAAGAAAAAGTACATGGCCAAATTCCTTTTTGCCTGAACTCTAGAGAAACTAATAAACAGGCAAACCTTCAGAGTTTTGATTTGAGGATGAGTTTGAACAATGTTAAAATTTCTTTAAAATTCTTATTGTTTTCTTCTGCCATCCTCCCCTTTGCTTTTCTCTGTTGTGTGATGAATGTATCATGTCCACATCTCGTGACTGTAGCTTTGTGTTTGAAGCCACACTAGCACAATGAATGTCTTTAGTAAATTATATTTCAGAATTCTTCCAGGGAATCTGCAGTTTGGAAAGGCAGAGCTGATTGCAAAATCTTCAATTTCAGAAATGTTCTATATTTGAATGTATATGGTTTCCTTGATCTTGGTGTGCCAAAATGATTATCAATCTGAGGATCTTGGTCTCATGGAAAGAATAGGAGAAGAGGAGGAAAGATATTTATAGTGAGATTTTTGATACTGCTATGTTTAAAACTTATTGTTTCCTGGAATTTTAAGAAATTTTCAGTTTGTTTTCCTTCCCTCTCTAACCTAATTAATTTTTAGGGATATCCCCAGGGATGTAATTTATAAGACAAATGAATTACATTAGAAGTTGCTGTTATGGTATAAGCCCCCTTGTTTAGGGTAAATTTAAAATGTAATTTTCTGTGTTCTTTCCATCTGTAAATACTGATCTACCAGTGAAAGTCTGGGTTTTTTTTTTTATTTTTTGGAAAATTTTGTTGCCAGTGTTGAAAGTAGTAAAAACATGGAAATTAAAAAGGAGAAACATGGCTGTAATTCAGCTGTGGCTAGCAGAAACCTTCTGAAGTAGCACTAGCAGAGAGGTAGGGCTTTTTGCTTTGACTTTTTTGTCTTTAAAAATAGCTTTTTGTAGAAAATAGTCAAATAATAACTAGTATACAGTCAACAGTTTTCTGCTTACTGTAAAAGAAAAATATTCACCCTCGAGAAAGAGTTTTTAGGAAGGAAAAGCACATACCAGTTGCATTGCTCTGTTCAGGACTGTCCCAACTGCAGTGTTTGTATTGGTGAAGCTTCTTAACCTTTTGAAGCCCATGGATCCTTGTACTGTGCAGCTTCTTTTTAACATCCATGCAACCTACTGACTTCAGCAAGGTAGTACACACATTAAAACATTTACCTTGGGCTTCCACGGCTATGCATTCTTTTCTGAAGAATTAAGGAGACACGAGGGCTAATTGCTGCTCCTGGTAAAAGCAATAGGCATTTTGAGAGCAGGAGCAAGTTTGCTGTAAATTCAGGCCAAAATACAAGTTTGGAATTTATTTGGAGTCCAAAGTTTTCCAATAGCATTGCAGCTAGGTCGTTATTGCTGAGGTTGGATAGTGACACTGACTTTCCTTTTCACAGAGAATGAAATGCAGAAAATAGTTTAAATGGGGATAAAACAAAGTATGGTGCATCTTTAGCAACTTTTGTTTTGATTAGATGGAATAATCCAAGGAAGAGAACTTAGTTCATAAAACCATAGCAGATGTAGCAAAACATCCCAACATAAATTCATCAGAGTATCCATGCCAGTGTGTAAATCTCAGCTTGTTCTCTAGTGCCTCTGCCTGGCATGGGCTTTCTGACCCCACCATGGCCAGGTTCCAGCTGCCCACCCCCACCCTCAGCAGGATTTGGGGAGCATCTTTCAGTAAGTGAGGAACTGCCTGGGAAATTTGCCTCAGGAGATGATAGCAAGGAAAGGGTGTTGTGCAGGGAGTGTATTTTGAAACACTGAATTGCACTTTTTTTAGTTTTCTATTTCCATCCTGTGTTCCCAGCTTTTCTAAAGGAATCCTAAGTAATTTCAAAACAGAATTACTTCACTAGCATTTGTGTAGCCCTCATGAATATGGTGAAGCCTGACACTCCCCGTCTCATTTTTTTCTGGAGGTGTTCAACAGTCTTACGGCATTAAAAAAAAATCTTCTTTCTATGTCCAGATAGCATTGTCTTTACTTAAAGATAAGGTTCAGAAGCAGATATAAAACATTTATTAGGTCTGCTCTAACTCTGACTTTTTCCTTTTTTTTTTTTTTTGAGATGCTAAATTATCTTCTTTTCCTTACACAAATTATAGCAAATACAGTGCTATCCCAGAGTCCCCAGCTTCAGTTTTAAAATGGATCAAATTTAGGTTCTGACATAATTGGCAGAGCACCATCATTTTTCTACCCCTCCCTCAATCTGGGCCATAATTGTGGATATCCTGTGGACTGCAGCCCAGAGACTGCCAGTGCTGGGAGCATACGGAAGGGAAGAGATGATGGCAATAGCTCTGTAGCTTGACCTGACATTTGCATTGTTCCTCAGTTGCTCAGTGTGATGAGGGGAGCAGAGGGTTTGGCATGAACTGTAAGAAACTGGCCATGATTTGGAGGAGCAGTCTCCCCTGCCTGGCTCTGATGTTATTAGTAGGTGCCGTTTGCTCTTCAAAAAATAGAATACAAAATAGGGGTGTTTTAAATAAAGAGAAAGAAAGCAAATAGATAGAGAAAGTCATACTCTAGGTAATTCCACTGCTTGCAATGAAGTTTCACTGGGAATAGATATTGACCCCATAAAATCCCTGGGTCACAGACAGCCTTATGACAGGCCCTGATAGCTTTGTGAAGACAGATTATGTCAAGCCCTCAAATTTGGAATCATAGCAATTCCTCTGTAGTAAGATTGCAAATGAACACCCATTTGGAGATTGCCAACATTATCACAGTTTGTCAGGGTGATCTCACAGCCCACAAAGCACCGTAAGAGATTGCTTTACAAGTTCTGAAAGATTAGAGCGTTGAAGTATGTGACATTGGAATGATGCTTTGATGCCTGGCTTTGTCAGTCAGCCAGACAAATAAATAATATCCAGTGTTTTTATTAGTATAAAGCATAACAGGTAATAAA